CTGTGAAGATAGGTGGGGTATAGGTTAGGCATTTTGGGTCACTGGATGACTCTAAATAAAGGAAAGGCAGGAGTCTGAAAGAGAAAGCTTATGTATTTCTTAACCCTGTTTAAGGTTGATTAGCTTCCTGGTCACTCTATTCTGAATTAACACAATTGATCCCCACTACTAAGCAGGGTGCCCTTCCTTCACCCATAAACCCTACTCTTGAAGAGCATTTTATCATATAACCATTTAATGAGTGCCTGCTGTATGCCAAGCAGTGTGCTAGGCATTGGGGTCACAGAGATAGATGAATGTAAAACAATCAAACAAGTGCAATCACTGTGATAGGAGGTGCTGTCACAGCTGGGGAGGCTGCATGCTGCCATTCCAGTCAACCTGCACTTTCTCCATGCAGCCTCCTCTCCAAATAAATGTTGACTGCCTCTTTAATGAGGCAGGTGACTGAATCTGTCTATGGATTGTGGTGCCTGTGAATGGGATACCCAGACCATGAGTCCCACTAGAGCAGTTATCCAAGAGTTATAAACAAGTTATATATCCTGCTAAGCTGAATAATTACTAGCTGTGTTTTGCATGCAGGGAAGCAGGTACTTAGGGTGGCTCAGAAAATCAGTAGACAGTTGTGTTTTGGACAGGAAGACAACCTCGTTTAAGTCACTGATTCCTGGGTCTGCTGGCCAGTGTGTCTTTATGGGACCAAAGGAGACTGTGTTAAGCTGCTGTTGGATGGTGACTATCCTTCCACATTGCCTGTCATTTGAATGAACAATTTTTTACCTGTATCCTTACTAAATTTAGGCTAGGGTCACTGTATGTTTAACTAATGCATGCACTTGACCTGATCATGGCCATGAGAGCCCCTGTAGAAAGGAGGTCTGATTAATCGTCTACCCTGGCCTCTTCTGTGCCTCAATCCAGCCTCTTTCTTTTTCTGTCTTACACTTTCTTCTCCATCCTCATCTTACTGCATCTTTGTTGTCTTGAGGGCACATTTTTTGACTGCTTGACCCAGGGCCAAATTGTTAATCACAAATGGCTTTGATTATGGTACTCTGCTTATTGCAGTCTTGACCTAGTGACTGTGATGATGGTGAAACTAACATCAACATGACCTGTAAGTGAAATTAACCTTAGAATTTTGAAACCAAACAGATCCCTGGATGCCACTTGGTCAAGTTTCTTCCTTAAATACATTAGGAAAGAATTCAGGAGAGCAAGTGACCCTGTAACAGTGATGGTTAGATATTCAACTTTTCAGTTAAGGGCAGAATATATAGTAGAATCCAGCTGCACCACCATATAACCTCTTTTCTGCTGCATTATTTTACTGCATTTTTATAGTACATTTTTCTTTGCAGGTTTTATTTGTTCCATGAAGATCACTTGGTATGTTCTAGTTCTATTAGTTTTTATATTTTTGTTCATCCTCATTATCCACAAAATACTTGAAGGCCACAGGAGAGTGAAGAAGTGGCAAAGTAAGTATTGAGAAATAAATCCATCATTTGGGATAATTCATCTAATGTCAGGGAGCTCCTAATCTTATATATAGATTCCACTTATCTTTTTTTTAAGTTCAATTTACCATTTACTGAGCACCTACTGTGTGTAGGTGGTGATTCTAGGAAGCCCAAGGAACATAAACATAAGTAAGACACAGTGCCAGCTCTCAAGGAGCTTGGTGTGTCTTTCTCCTGCCCAGACAAGTGAGTAAGAGGGGAAGAAATGCTGGGTGAATTGGAAGAAGTTGACAGACTGGAGGTTGAGCAGGAGCTTGGTGGAAGTGAAGGCAGAAGAGAGGCAGAAAAATAGGGAGTGGTGATAAAGAATTTCAGAGTTGGAGATCTTGAGCAGAGTGGTCCTAGGTGATGAGTGTGAGCAGAAGTCAATCTTTAATAAGTGTGGAAGTGACACTTTTTAGATTTTTGACTATGAAGAGCTCAAATGTGTAGTTGGAAATCAGGACAGTAAAAATGATACTCAAAAAGACTTAACAACTAGTATGATATAGGCACCTATCAGAATGGACAGTGACTGTCAGCTCCTGGTGTGGCCCTGTGGCATGTACCCATGTGCATACTGGCCCTACTGGTGGGTAAGCATGTAGACACGCCCCTCTGGTGTGTACCTATGGGCAGATTGGCTCCAGTGGTATATACCAATGCATATACTGGCTCCACGGGCATGTACCCATGCATATACTGGCTGAATGTGAGACCTGATGGACAGTTTATAGTATGAGACGTTGATCTCTTAAAGACAGTATTAAATGTATCATTATGAGAATAGCCTTTGAAGACAAGTGGACTTGGGTTAGAATTCTAGTACTGTCACTACTAGCAAGTTACCATGTTTGAGTGTCCCTTTTTTCCTTTGTAAAACAATAATAATCACCATTTCCACATGCAGTTGAGGTAAGGATTGAACTAAAGAGATTATATAAGAAATTTATCCCAGTGCCCAGTAGTTTTCAATAAAGGATAGTAGCATTGTGCTGGGTGGGTGCAGTATTTCCCAAGGCTCCTATGTTCTTTACCAGGCGAGGCTGTGTTAGTCCTTTCAGTGGGCAGAACAAATGGTTGCCTCTAGGTTGGAATCAAACTATCATTCATTCTTTTGGCTAAGTCTTTGTTGGAGATCTTTCTGAGAAGTTTCCTATCAAGTCTTATCATTGGTACTTTAGTATATAAGGGTCTAAATAAATTGGTTACTAACATCATCAGCATTGTATATTTGTAGAATAAACATTCTCTGTTTCTGGGTATGTGCTATTACTTTTATTTTATAGATAAAAAACCCCCGAGCCTCAGAGGGATTGTTTTGTCCGAAGTTATACAGCTAATAAAATTTCAGAATTAAGACCCAGGGTCTTTCTTGTTTTGAAAATTATGTTATTTGAAATAAGTGTGTGTCATTTGCAATTAGTACATGGTTTTGAGTTTTTTTGATCCCTTTATCTATAAATGATTACATATTAGGAGAGTTAGAAGCCAGATAGAAAAAAATGTCTAGAAAGAAACCCATAGTGGGGAGTGACATTCAGTTTTTAGGAACATCTACCCAAATGGCAGGCTTAGTGGCTTTCAAAGGCTAACCTCATGAATCCAAGCATATGAAGTAGTGAAAAATATCCTGCCACTTAGGACAGTAAACATTATTAAATATTAAATATACATCAAATATTCTGCATATCATACCTATTTTATATAATAATATAAATAATATTGTGCATATAAGAGGAGATGCATCATGGCATTTATAGCAGTGGAGAAGCCACTGGTTTTAGAAAGAACCTATTTATTAATGGAAAATAACTTAATAGGGAAAAGCTCTTAATGTCCTGCTACTCCGGGCTCTGCTGTGAATGGCCCATTTTCCTTGGTAATCCTTTGAAACAACATGGGGAATACATGTTAAGAATGTGCAAGCTTATCATCTAAATATTTAATTTCTTTTCTTGGAATAGGTCATAAATACAAATCTACATCTGTTCTCTTAAGAGGAAGTGATTCTGAGAAACTTCGAACCCTGAACGTGCGGGTTATTTCAGGTGAGTTCAGTGACATGCAAAAAAAGCACCGCTGGAATCCCAACGCTCCACCCTTTCACTCTAAACAGAGAATCAAATGATCTGAGCTCATTTAAATTAGTCTTGTATCTGGAAGAAAGGAGCTGTGAGCAAATGAAAACTAGTGTAATATGTCTTATTATCAAGGGACAGTTATGATCAAAACTACCTCCTTAAGTAATGGAAAGTTTGCTTAATTGGCAAGAAGAAGTATATGTGAGTAGGCAGAGGGGAGAAAGCAATAAGGAATAAGCCTCAGGTTTATTTTTAAATGAGACAAGATACCATTATTCCTCAGAATTGCAAGAAGTAATTGCAGAGTGGGCACAGCTCTTTGCTAGAGCCTTCGCTTAGCCGAGGGTGTCATTGCACAAAGAGAACATCTAATAGCCCCAATTAAAAAGTCCCCTGTCCTCTCTTGAGAACTAGAAATGGAATAAGGGAATCTAATTAGAGCAGCTAAGGGGGATGTTAGCACAGATGCTGTGGGTCGATCTCCTTCTTATTGTGAAGACTCCTTCTGAATTCAAGTTGTCAAATTGTATTAGAAAGAAAGAGAGGGAGAAGGTGACATGGGCAAATCTCTTCTTCATCAGGGAGAAATAATATGCTTGACTCTGAGAACCGCAGAATTATGACTGATGCCCCACGGCTTCCACGCACAGCCAGTGAGCAGGCTCCTTCGTACTTTATGAGAACTTAGACAAGGAAGCTTCAAGTCTGGTGGGTAAACAGGTTTCAAAAATGAAAGGAAATGGAACAAACCCTGAGCTCCTCACTGCAGCTGCATCTGTGGCCACTTAGAGATTTGCACATCATTTCACTGGCGCCTGTGCCTGGAGACTTTTCTGAGCTATTTAAACCAGGAGGTCCTCAGACCCCTGGCCTGAGGAAAACCTGGGTTGGGTGCGCCCAAAAAGCTCAATTAAAAAAAAATTTAGGCTTTCCAATCTCAGCATTAGCATTAAAATGACTAACCTATGGCTAAAAATAAGCATTAGCCAAGTAATTACTTGATACCAGCTAAATGTGGGGAAAGTTGATAGAAGTTTTGTGTGGTCAGTGAGTTTTATTTGGTGAATGAGGTAAGAATCAGAGGGTTGTTTCAAATGGCAAAATCCATTTTTAAAGGGAGAAAATGGCGCTTCCTCTGCGCTCCCCTCTTGGCCAGTACCCGTGCTGACACGCAGGTCCCAGGCGTGCTTTAACCTGGTGCTGCTGGGCTTTTGGTTGCCTTTGGAATTCTCATCTTTTCTCTTTTCAAGTCATAATTTTGAGCACTGCAGCGTCGTCTGAGAAAAAGTCAGTAGCTCCCCGTCCACCCCTGTCAGCGGGGGAGCGGGCGATTTAAAGCCCTAGCAAACCACGAGACTAACCTCTCAGGTTCTATTTACAAGCCTATGATTTTCATTCACCAGAGAAATCTGTCTGGGCCATCCTTTCCGTGTAATAGCTCTCACTAAAAATCCTCAGGCTTTATTACCAGGCATATAATATTAATGTTCAGAGCGGGCCAAGGGGTGATGGCCTTTTTTAAAAACCAAGAGTCCTTTTGAGGCTTGGCATCTTAAAGAGGGGAAGAAGAAGATTTGTTCTCGTTATATATATATATATATATATATTCCTTTAACCTAAATGCGTTTTTTCCCCTCCCATTATAAGTTGCTCTTTCTGAGGGAGAAATGGGAATATATATATATATATATATATATTCCTTTAACCTAAATGCGTTTTTTTCCCCTCCCATTATAAGTTGCTCTTTCTGAGGGAGAAATGGGAAGGAAATAATATCTCCCTCGAGGGCTGTTTTTAAGGCCTCTTTTTGTAATGATGGATTATAGGCAGGAGTGAGAATGTAAGGGGAAAAAATGTGCCAGTATGGTTCTCTAGAGAAGCATTAACATAAGTGAAAAAAAAATGTAGTTCAAAGAGAGCAGTGACTATGCCCTCTTCAGCAGAGCAGCCTGCTGTCGGCCCCGGCTGTATGTTCCAGAATGTCTCTCCAGTTGTTCACGTACCGCAAAGTGAGTATTGTGGCACACATCCACACAGAGATATGGAGAGCCTCACAGCCTCAAAAACGATAAGAGAGAACTAAGGGGAGATTACCAACACCCTGGCGCTGCACGGGGCTGCCACGTACTGGGGGCGGAGGAAACACGGAGACATGGAGACAGTACATGAGTCTCATCGCTGTAGAGAGCGACGTCGTAGCATCCAACCCCAGGCTGTTATGCATCTCTAGTATTTCCCTCCTTGCTCTGGGAAGCGTGATGGCTTCTGTTGCCTGCCTTGGCGTTAATCTATTCTACATCTCATTTATTATCTGCACACAGGTGATGACTCTCTCATTCCTCTTTGGAGCCTTGTCCCGAGCATACTATCTGGCATGTAGTCCACGCACAATAAAAGCTTATTAAATCGCACAAACCCTAAGGGGAATGCATATAAAGTAAAAAGAGCAGATGAAGTTGAAATGAATCCTTGGGGTCGGGAAAGGTGAAAATGAACAGAGAGACAAAGCAGTGATCAGAGGGAACATGATTCCACTTCATTAAAGAGCATAAAATGCACTTTATAGAATTGCTAAGGATATCAGAGAATAATGAAAAGCACTGACCATCTTGAAGAAGAGATTTTGAGAACCATGCAAAAGTAGCTTTGAAATGCATCCCTAGAAACAGTCCTTAATGAGCTGACCACACTGGGAGACCAAGGCCAGGGGCAGGAGCAGTGTGCTAAGACCCGAAGCGCTGGATGCAGACAACAGAGACCAGCTTGGCTGACTCGGCAGAAAGGAAATGTATTGGAAAACCGGTAGGTAACCCTTGGCAGCAACAGGAACATTGGGCAGTCTGGGCTTAGAAAAGGAGCAGGAGTCAAGGGAGGCCAGATGGCCAAAAATACAACCAAAGTTGTCCCAGGAGGAAGGTCTGGTGAGAATGCCTTGGCCGGTGTCACCACCGTTGGACACTCCCTCGGAGCTGCCAGAGCTACCCTCTGACCACCTTGCAGCTTTGCCTCACTGTCCAGGATGGCAAACCCCAAGGAGGGGTATCTGGCTGATGGAATACAGGCCGCAGATTGGTTTTCTGGGTACCAGGAAGCGGGGAGAAGGTCTATCTGCTTCTCTGGCTTCTTGTGTACTAGACAGTTCCCCTGAGATGTCCACTAGCTGGACAGCCAATAAGTACATACCTACATGTAGGACACTGCATTCCCAGGATTAGAGCGTCCACTTACTCCTGCTGCATGGGTCAGTTAAGGGAGTCCTTTCATCTCTCCCTTCTATGTCCATCAAAAATGATGAGATTTTTAAAACTTGAAATTCTTCACCTTCAAATATTCAGTCAAAATCTACTGAACACTGACTATGGGTCAGAAATTGTGCTAAGCATTGACAATGCAGTGGCCAGAACACAGCACGGTCCCTGCCTGTGCAGAGCTGACACCACAGTTCAGGAGAGTCTACCCTGGTTCCTTAGGAGAATGTAAACAAATTAAACTATAAAAACTCATTAAGCACCGTACATTCACACACATCATTTTGTTTTATTTCATAAAAACTTCACTTTTTTCCTGATGAGAAAACTGAAGCTAAGAGAGTTGAAAGTAACTGACCCAACGCCAGCTCCTAGCAGGGTGAGAGGCCAAACTCAGTTCTGTCCAGCGGATGCACTTTCTGGCACACCGCTTAAAGGCAGTGACGAGCGGGGACGTTTTCTCCTGCTGCTTCAAGCCATAGATCAAAACTCTTCTTGCTCTTTTACATTTAACACTGGAAACAGAGATGAGACATTTTCTCTATGAGGTAGTAAGTAGGAAGGAGCTTGTATGAGACAACGTGAATCATCTGCAAAGTAACATTTTGGCACTGGCAGTTAACGTGGGTGGGCTCTTGGGGACCACAATGCAAAGGAAACAGAATTTTGCTGTGCATGAGAACTGCCAAATGACAAAAGGAAGCGGATGACCCAGTAATATGTATTACCCCAAAATAAAACTAATGGCAACGTAAAATTATAATTTGCAACATGTTTAAGGCCAGTATAAATAAAGACTAAGCAGGTTTCAATTTCCTATGGAAGGGAAGATAATTTACTGGTGCCAGGTGTCCAGCAACCAAGCAAGATAACATGAAAATTTAATTTTTTCTTGCTTAACTATGATATTTATGACTCTTAAAATACAGATTTGGGTTCATAAAACAGAAAAGGTTATAACCATCTGCTTGGTTACAGACTAGATCAAAATGCAGAGGGTGACTCTGCCTGCAGGAAGAAATTCTTAAGTGTGAAGAATCTGTCGGCAAAAGAGGATAATTTATTCTATTCATTCACTGAATGACTTTATGTGACAGCCAATTGTGCCTGGTCTGGAAGAACTGATGATGAAACATATGCAGATAAACATCTTCTCTTTTCCCAGACTGTCCCTACCAACCATCAAGGCTCCCTCACCACCCCACTGCAAACCACCCCCTTTCCCCCCCTGCCTTTGTCTAGTTAGCTCCTACCCTGCCCTTCTGATCTTGGCTTAACTAATATTTCCTCAGGGAAGTTGTCTCAGACCTAGTGGACCAGGTAAATTACACCCTCAACATCACACATCTCTCTTTGTGGCAATTAATTTACATTTTTGTTGCTATTTTATTTTTTGTTATCGATTGATGTCTCTTCCATGAGCCAGTTAGCTTCTGAGATCGGGGACACTGTCTGATAATTCTCATCACTGCATCCCCAGCTCAGAGCACAGTGCATATAAAGATACATAGTAGGACTTAATAACTATTTGTCAAATAAATACAACTTTACATCCTCAGTGTTGAAAAAACGGCTGCTGCTGTCTTACACAGGCCTTTCAAATACTTTCCCCCCTAGATTATAACTTTTGATGATGCTTATCCAAAATAATGAAAGGAAAATGGTTAAATGCTTCATCAGCTTCATTCCTTGGAGTATTAAGTATACCTGCAGTGTGAA